TCGGTTCCGAACTTCAAAATGCGTACTTATTTGTTAGTGAGCTCTGCTAAACATAAAGCTAGAAACTTTTGAAAGAAGAAGCTAGAATCTTTTCAAAGGAGACGATCAACATACCTGTCATTGTAACAGCCAAGAAGGAAAAGAGCACCTCCGCCCAAGCACCACAGTATTCCATCCTGAAGCATCTTGTGCTGCTCTATCTATGAAGAAGAAATAAAATCTAAAGCATCCTGAAGCATCTTCTGCATTTGGGTCAAGTTTCAACCCGCGGCTACTATTTGTTAAAAAAATTAAAACAAAAAAAACCCAGTAACGCCGAGCGGCTATACTATTTTTTTTTGGGTGAAGCTATGTATTTTTTCAAAACAATTAAAAAAAAAAGATGCAAAGTATAGCCGTTCGGCTATACTATTTATTAAACAAATTTTAAACGGAGACAGAGTATAGCCGTGCGGCTATACTATTTTTTAAATTAAAAAAAAAAAAAACCAGCCAAATAGCGCCAAGGAATACATGTTAATACATATAAATTTGCCCGAAATGCAACCATCAATCTATTGTCAGATTTTCAACAATGGCTCAGAACAGTAAAACGAGATTTAAAAAATATATATGATATAGGAATTTCAAGAACTTCAAGAACAATTAAGAGTTTCTACTGGAAAAAAGAAACAATGCATACTGAGCTCTGCTGAACAAAAAGCTTGAATCTGTTGAAAGGAGACGATTAACATAAAGCTGGATTTAATTAACTTCCAAAGATGGAGCATAAACTGACCTGTCAACAAACAAAATAGTATACCTTCAAACATCTTCTTCTACTCTCTCTCTCTTTGTGAAAGAAATCAAATTTGTCCCTTTACATAAAGCATCTTCTTTTATGGAGGAGTTTTTGTAAATAAGAAAAACCCAGGAAAGAAATCAAGTTGAAAAAGGTTACAAATTTGTAAGTTGTAACGAACTTGATGACCAAGAATCTATTTGTGCCAGTTGATAGTTTCACAAAATAGAGGCAAAAATGATAATGGTCGGTGCCAATATATTTTTTTCAAGTACAAGCGATAGTTTAAACTAGAGGGGAGGGGGGATTTCTCACATACACACACACAAATGATGTCATGAGGGTTTTAACATGAGACATCTTGTTTGCAAGTTAAAGCCCTTTTACACTGAGCTAAACCACGTTAGCAGTTGGTGCCACTTTTGTTTTAAGTAATAGATGAACTTCGGTATCTTGTTTTAATTGGTAAATGGTCATACATGAATTACGCAGAATATAATACCATAATAATATTCATATTTTTACACAATTTTTCCATCAAGTGACCATTTCCAATATTGAGAAGACCCATTAAGCTATAGAGACAGTTTTTATTTATTTATTTAAATACAAGCAGTAGTCTAAATTACAATGCGATGGATTTCTCACACACAATACTTAAGTTCCATTAGAGTTTGAACCTGAGACCACTTATCTACAAGTCAATGCATTTTTCCACTCGGCTAGACCACATTGGTATAGAGACATGAGTTTTAGAAAATGGAAAATGTAGCTTGCCATTGCTGACTTCAGAGACTTGTTACATTGTTTTTGGGTTTTACTAATACAACTGAGGAGTTGGATCCCATGGGAAAATTTGGATTCAATATTGGAAGATGTCAAGTGTGTGTTTGTGTGTGAGCAAAGTCAAATTGAGAATATAAAGGGACAATTTAAGGCCTTCAAATTCTTTTTAAAATATAATCCATTACAATCATCGACATATATTCCTCTTCTCTGCAATTTCTCAACGAGGCGGTGTTTACAACAAATGCAAACCAATATCGGCAACACCAAGCAAAGTGAAAACGACAGATCCAACATAGGAAACCCTGGTAATTAAAGACATGTATATTATTAGTTTAGACTTTAGAGAAAGCACACATGAAGGAAGACACATGTTTGTAAATTGTATGCATTAACCTTGCTTCGCCCCTCTGCCCTTCAGTGAGCTGATCAATGGTTCTTGGAGAGACATAAAATGGTCCTCCTCCGTCTGGTCTCTGAATGCAAATAGTACCATTGCCATCTTTGACAGCCTGAACAAGAATTGGCCTCCTCCGTCTGGTCTCTGAATGCAAATAGTACCATTGCCATCTTTGACAGCCTGAACAAGAATTGGGGGGCATTTCCATGTCAACAAAAATCTCCATCGGAGAACATTTTGCAGATAAAATGAGGCATTTCGGAGAAACTACAATTTTTTTCTGTTAGCAAGCGATATTGAGGGACGAAGATTTTAACATGGGGCCTCAACTACAACTTAATAAAGCCGTTTATAGTTCCACACTAGATTCTTCCAAGTATCAAGGTAATTTTTAGGTTTGAAGTCTCTATTTGTATGTCAAAGGGTATGAAGTACTTGAAGCATCATATTAACAACAACATACCTCACCAATAACACTCAAAGAAGTACCAATTGGAAGCACCCGCTCAATTCGTTTGACTCCAAGGACCTAAGACAAAATAGAGCCAAGCCATCATATTTCTTGAACCCAGTGGAGTTTTGTATGCATATAAAGATTACTAGTAAAGGAAGGCCAACCTGGCGGTCCTCCTTCCCTTTTGTTATGTACGGAAGGTTTTCGAGATCATCTAATGTCTCAACTCCATGCCACCTCCTTGATGGTTCAAAAACTGCATATCGATCTGTGCAGTAAAAGCCTTCGGCACTTCGAGCTCCCACCACTTTCACATGAAAAGTCCCATCATCCTGATATAACAAAATCAAGGAACCACCAACATGTCCTGTTAAGTCAAATTTCAACTCCAAAAGAACCAGACTTAAAATTTCCTTAATCAAGCAGGCACAAAACAAACACGACAAATACAATACACTCAAGAGAGAGAGAGAGAGAGAGAGAGAGAGAGAGAGAGAGAGAGAGAGAGAGAGAGAGAGAGAGAGAGAGAGAGAGAGAGAGAGAGAGAGAGAGAGAGAGAGAGAGAGAGAGAGAGAGAGAGAGAGAGAGAGAGAGAGAGAGAGAGAGAGAGAGCAAATTCTCACCAAATACCATGGGACTTGTTCGCTGGTAGAATGCAAGACTTCATAATCCTTCCTCCATTTATCACCCTTGTCCTCGTTCTTGTTCTTGTTCTTATCCTCATCCTCGTCCTTGTCCTTATTCTTGATGCGTTCCAGAAAATATTTTAAAACCTAAACAAGACATCACCAAGATAGTTAATTATCAATGACACCCAAAAAAAGAGCCTACTAAAGGAAGCATCCAAATTTGTACAGGTTGTTTAGAGTTATGATTTGCTTACCGTTTTCTCCACAACTACACCTTGTAACTCACTAAATTCACAGTTCATGGGAGTTTCCGAGCCAACGTTTCCCCGAAGTGCAACCATCAATCTATTCTGAGATTTCAACAATGGCTCTGAACAGTAAAACGAGATTTAAATTTTAAAAAAAAATCTAAAAAATCTAATTTAGGAATTTCAAGAACTCAAAGAACAAGAGTTTCCACTGAAAAAATAATAATAATAATCAGTGCATACCCAAATCCTTAAACTCCCTAATCTGAGGGACCGATGCAAGGTTATCTGCTGAAATAATCCAAAACGCAAAAAAAGTTACCCACCGAGAAATTTAATTTCTTTAAGAACTTCAAAATGTGCAGTTAATTGTTGTTACTGAGCTCTGCTGAACAAAAAGCTTGAATCTTTTGAAAAGATGGATCATAAACTGACCTGTCATAGGAGCGGCCAGCAAGGTAACAAGCACCTCCCAACAAAAAAAATCCTATACTTTCAATCATCTTCTACTCTCTGTACCGTGAGGAAGAAATCAAATTTGTCCTTTTTTATTGTTCAACTTATGCCCTTTTAATAAAGCAAGTTCCCTCTTTTGTGGAGGAGTTTTTGTAAATAAGAAACACCCAGGAAAGAAATCTAGTTTAAAAGGGTAACAAATTTGTAACAAACTTAATGACCAAGAAATATTCAAATTTAGGCAAGTTTCAGAGGCAGCCCTGATTGGGGTGGGCTAAAAAGTTTATTGCAAGCCCTAAGCCCAAAAGGTTGGCTTGGCTTATAGCCCAAGATTCGGCTCAGCCTGTTATAATTTGAAGAATAGTATTAATAAATATACACTTATATTATAACAATCAGATAGAATGCAAAGTGAAACCAAAAGATGCAACATAAAACAACCTGGTTATAAAGCCATCCATTAGTTTAGACTTTAGAGAATGCACACATGAAGGAAAACATGTGACATGAGTAGATAACGAACGCCGCCGCAAACACACGCGCGCATGCACGCACAAGTGTCACATGTTTGTATGCATTCAAGGATTCATAGAACCAACCTTGCCCACATCCTACTCTCTTAAGTGAGCTGATCAATGGTTTTGGGAGAGACACAAAATGGTCTTCTGTATGGTTCCCGAATCGAAATGGTACCATTGCCATCTTTCACAGCCTGAACAAGAAATTATAAAATGGGGCATTTCAATGTCCAACAAAAGCACTAGCAAAAGAACTTGGTGCAAATAAAATGGGGCATTTTCATGAAACTACAACCTCACCAACAACACTCAAAGAAGTACCAACTGGAAGTACCCTCTCAATTCGTTTGACTCCAAGGATCTAAGCCAAAATAGCAATCATATTACTTGAAAACCAATGAAGTTTTGTATATAGAAAGATTGCTAATAAAGTAAGGCAGACCTTGTGATCTTTCTTCCCTTTTGTTATAGGGAGTTTCACTAAAACACCCAAAATAGGGGCTGAAATTATAAAAAAACCCAACACCCAAAACACTTTATAAACACACCCAAAACCTATCATTACACACACTCGAAATCCATTTATAAACACACCCAAAAAATATACAATTGTTGATTTTGGGGTTGATTTTGGGTGTGTTTCTATGTTTAAATAGTGTGTGGTTTTTTTTATAAATACATGTCTAGGATTTGGTTTATTTATAATAATCTATTTGTTATAAGTGGAAGGTTTTCGAGATCAGCTAATGTCTCAATTTGGGGCCAGCTTCTCTTTGATCCTTCAAATGCTGCATTCTCAGCTGGGTACTCAAAGCCTCTGGCTCTTCGAGCTCCCACCACATTCACACGAAAAGTCCCATCATCCTGATATAACAAAATCAAGGAACCACCATGTCCTGTTAAGTCAAATTTCAGCTCCAAGTGAAGCAGATATAAAATTTCTTCAATCCAGCACAAAAATGAACACACCATAGTTGCATAGTCTTGTGTGAGAGAATGAGGCAGAGAGAGAGAGAGAAAGAGAGAGAGAACAAATTCTCACCAAATACCATGGAACTTCTTTTGTGATAGAAGGCATGAATTTATAATCCTTCTTCCATTTCATCATCCTTGATGCGTTTCAGAAAATATTGTTCTTCACCTCCCTACCAAAAAAAAAAAAACCCACCACTAAACAAAGCATCCAAATTTGTATAAGTTGTTTAGAGTTATGATTTGTATACCCTTTGCTCCACAACTACTCCTTGTAAACCACCAATTTCACAGTTGATGGGAGTTTCCGAGAAAACTTTTCCCCGAATTGTGACCACCAATCTATGTTCATATCTCAACAATCTCTCTGAAAAGTGAAATTATGAGATAAAAATTCTTATGTAGAAATTTCAAGTACTTCAAGAAACACTGCAGCCTACCCAAATCCTTCAACTTCCTAATCCGATGGGCCGATTAAAGATTATCTGCATCACTTTGATAACCCAAAACGCAAAAAGAGTTACTCACCAAGAAATTTAATCACTTTAGAACTTAAATGTACCAAACAAAAGAAAAAGAAAAAAAAGGTGCTTCAGAACTTCAAAATGTGTACTTAATTGTTACTGAGCTCTGCCTAACATAAAGCTAGAATCTTTTGAAACAAAACGATTAACATAAAGCTAGATTCAGTTTCAAAAGATGAAGCATAAACGGACCTGTCACAGAACCAGCCAAGAAGGTAGAGAGCACCTCCGCCCAAACAACTTAGTATTCCATGCTTAGGCATCTTCTACTCTCTATGAACAAGAAACAAATTCGTTCTTTTCTATTATTCAACTGATGCTCTTTTACATAACAAGAAGTCATTTTATAGTGGAATTTTAAAGACATTGAAAATAAATAAAAAACTCATGAAAGAAATAAAGTTGAAACAAGGTAAAGAAAGGAATAAAAGAGTAAACTTGATGACCAAGAAATATATATTCATATTTAGGCAAGCACTTGGTTCTGTTCTACATTAACACCCCTCCCTTGATCATGTATAATGAATGTATAAATCATACATTACATGTTACACAAATTTTCATTTCATCAATAAGTGACGAGGGATTTAAACTTCGACCATTTCCAATATTGAAAAAAGAAATATTCGTTACACCAAGAGTTATTTAGTCATGCTTCCTCACACATTCATCCCATTAAGCTAACTAGAGCCCATGGCTATAGGGACAGAGTTTCAGAAAGTGGAAAATGTAGCTTGCCGCCATTGCTGAGTCAATATTGGAAGATGTCAAGTGTCTCTGAGTAATTTCCAGTCAATATCTGGGTTGACACATACTGATTTGCAGCTTGTGTATAATGGTTGCCGTCCCAATTCACATACTCTTCTGGATTAGTGCATGGTGTTGCAGTGACCAAAGTCCCATTGAGATTCTTGGTTTCTCCACAATTAATCCGATTATCAAAATTTAATGGCAGACCGCCATATCCACAGCAAGCTGCTATGCCTTGTTTGAATCCTGAAAGCCAATAATTAACATTCTTGGATATTATTAATCTTGAGATCCAAGAAACCCAATTTAATTAATTAGGAAAGCTAGTTTACCGTATTGAGCATAGTTTGTGATGAGGTCCAACTTTATTTTGTAGATGTTGATGTAAGTAACATTGGCTTCTGGGAATTTTCTCTGAAACTTGAAACAAAGATCATGTAGTTGTGCATTGAAAGCAGTAGCAGCACGGTTGTGGGAAGCAACGCATCCAAATTGGTCAAGCTGTGATGGGTTTTTCCCAAATGTTGCAATAATTCTTGGTAGGCATCCCAGTGGACCTGTGTTGTGAATCCGAAAATTCTTAGCCCCCTGATTGTATAGTTTCTGCAAAAGAAAACAAAAGTTAATATTTGTCTCAAATTAAGATTCTGAAGTAGGAAACATGACAGACAGAACCTGAATTCCGGCCTCGAATTCGGTCATAATAGATGGGATTAAAGCAACTACTTGGTCTTCTGATTTAGAAGAAAATGCACCATCAAGATCATTCTGTCCCACATCGAATGTATAAAGGCCCTGCTTGAAATAATCTTCGAAAGGGAGGACATTTTGAAGCTTCTTGTCTAAATCCCACACCAGTCACCGAAACTCTCATCAGTAAATTCCACATGATCAACAAGCCAATTCTAACCACATTATATAATTAGTACCTTTAGATAGTATCTCAAGAGCTTTTGCCTTGAATCTGCCAAATTGAGCAACCTGAATTCCAAAGGAGAAGGGGCTTATTGAGGCTGCATTGGCTGGAAGAACAGTAGACCCTCCAGTTGCAAAATTGCATCCTGTTTGGAAGCTTGGTGCACCAACAGAATCCAAGTATGGATTCAGAAATGGTAGGTCCATTTCATTCACTGCAGCATATATTAATGAAAATAAAGTAAAATTGTAACATGTCAAACATGTCTATGTAAACCAAATATATATACATATACGTGTAAGAACAAAGATATATACTTTACTTAGGTAATCAATGATCAAATATCCATTGCAGAAACGTTTAATAGGAAAAGCAATTCCTGCATTGAGGCCTCCGGTGTCTGAATTCGAATCTCCGAAGTTAAACACTGCTGGATAACTAAGATTGGCGGGGCTAGTTGTAGGCAAGAATGCAGCCAATGATGCTAGTAATTGAAGGGCAAGAACTTTCAGAGCCATGGTTAAGAAGGATGATTTTTATTGAAGATGGATGGTTAAGGTCATAGAGGTGAAACAATTTTTAATATATATAGGTGCTTAAGGTGGCAGGCCGGAACTTGAAAACAAAAGTTTGGTAAGATATAGGTGTCTTGCAAGCTGAAATAGCCACGTAGGGATGCAAATGCGATGAAGTGCCTTAAGTACGAATGCAAGGGTCCGAAAAAATACAAGGCAAATTGTGGGTAACTTGTCTTGCTTTCTGACACTTAGCCCTCCACTACAAGCCTCAACTTTGAGATGATCCAATCATCTAAGCATTCTGCTCTGTTAATTCAAGAAAGATATTTGCTTACAGACCGACCTCTAAGTTACAACTGGACCATGACCTTATCTGATTAGAGAAGTGACAAAATATATAACTAATTCAAGCAATAAATAAGAAAAAATCGTATATACAAATGTGTATACAACGTTCCTCTCACAATAACTGATCACGTGACCAGCACATGAGAGATGAATGTGAGAGATCACAAAATTATCCTCAAACGTGCAATGAGTCTATACAAGGACATTACACACTTTTTCATAAGACTAGACTTATAGAGAGTTGATTACATGACCAATTATTGGAAAATGAACTTTGTAAGAATTGTTCACTTGTAATTAAAGTGAAAGCATCCCCTTGTACGACAAGTCGTTCGATGGCTTGATTCTTCAGCAAGTGTCATCCGTGATGTCGTCGTCGTGCCATTACTTAAAAGACGGGCCGGGTTCGATTGATACGGGTGGTTATTTTGTTACCAAAAGCCCGTCAGCAAAACCCTCGAGAAATCCCAAAAGCCCTAAACGGCTTAAAGCCTAAAACCCCACAAACCACACACACTCCAAGTCTCCGCCACTCCGAGGGAAGGCTGAAGCAAATCCTTCTCTCTGCTTCTTCATCCTCATTTCCAATGGCTGCGGTCGCTCTCAGAAATCCTAGCTCCAGGCGCATCCTCCCCTACTCCTCGCAAATCTATTGGTGTACCCGAGGATCAGTTGGTTCTTCAATCTCTGAATCCAGTTTCGGAAATGACCGATCTTCTAGCCCCAATCCTTGGTGGAGATCCATGGCCACCTTCACACGCACGTTAGTATTCATCCGCTGTGTGTGTTTGTTACTTTGAGTTGGAATTTTTCATATAAAAAAATGGGACTTTTAGAAGAGAGAGATTTGTGCGTTTGAGTTTTGTATTGTTTAATTTAGTCTGAATTAGATTTATCACCATTCTTTTCTTTTTTACTCCTTTGAACTTGAATATCATGGGATAGGAATTTTTCTGGTTTGTAACTATAATCACATTCTTTATGCATATGATGCTGCTTGGCCAACAGAAAACCTCATGTGAATGTTGGAACAATTGGACACGTCGATCATGGAAAAACCACTCTGACTGCCGCAATTACAAAGGTTGGTCATTGATGCAGTGATTGCTTTTCTATGCATGTTTCTGGACTCTATGTTTATCTGTATTTTCTTCTTAAATAAGAACCTGAAAAGAAGTTGCTAAAAAGAGCAGCTTTTCCAGCCTATAATACATCTCCTTCTCATGAAATGAGACCCGGTACATATGAAAGAGTTGTCAACCAAAAAAGAAAGAATTTTCCATAATCGTAATGTTTTAAATTTTCCTCAGGTACTAGCAGAAGAGGGAAAAGCTAAGGCTGTAGCCTTTGATGAAATTGATAAGGCCCCTGAAGAGAAAAAGAGAGGAATTACAATTGCGACGGTTAGTATGTTTTTCTTAATTATCATCTTGGCATTTTGGTATTTGTGGAATAGTGTAAGCTTCCATTGGTTTATTGACTCATCTTCTCAAAGTATTATTCCAACCTAACTTGGGTTTGCCTTGATTTTGAAGGCTCATGTCGAGTATGAGACTGTCAAGCGACACTATGCACATGTGGACTGCCCAGGACATGCAGATTATGTCAAAGTAAGGTTTGAATTTAAGGGAACAATATTTGCATACATGAATTCTTCTAATAAGTGTGATTAACACGCAGAACATGATTACTGGAGCTGCCCAAATGGATGGGGGCATTCTGGTTGTATCTGCTCCTGATGGGCCTATGCCACAAACTAAGGAACACATTCTGCTGGCTCGACAGGTGGGTATTTTTGTGGTCACCAGATTGCAAAGAAAATCAAACTTATGTGCTTTTTCTCGTGTATTTGTGTGCACAGTGATGTATATGTATACTTTTTTGTTGGTTGTATTGCACAGGTCGGTGTGCCATCACTTGTGTGTTTTCTCAATAAAGTCGATGCTGTTGATGATCCAGAGTTGTTGGAGCTTGTGGAAATGGAGCTCCGTGGTTCGTAGATTTAGGAGATCACTTTATTAGCAGACGGCTTTATATTCAATTGAAGTTTTTTAATTTGTCTTATGTTTCTGGCAGAGCTTCTTAGCTTCTACAAGTTCCCTGGGGATGAAATCCCTATTGTCCGAGGTTCGGCTCTGTCGGCTTTACAAGGCACAAATGAAGAGATTGGCAAAAAGGCAATTCTAAAACTTATGGATTCTGTGGATGAATACATTCCTGACCCTGTACGCCAGCTCGACAAACCTTTCCTGATGCCAATTGAAGATGTTTTCTCAATCCAGGTAAGTTGGGCATGCATTTAGCCATACTCGGGTAGACTTTCCTAAATCTTAATCCCTTTAGGGTATTGACATTTGTTACAAGCATTGTCTTAAAGTTGGCCTTTAATTTTGTTCATAACATCTGGGTACTTTGCTCTCGTAATATCATTGCTGCTGCCTTAACTATTACTACTGTTTTGATCATGAAACTATTATTTTTTTATTATAAACTATTACTTTTATAAAATTGATGTGATTTATTTGAATTGCCAGTGTTGCCCATTTCTAATGCCTTACACCGTTCTGATCCTTATTTTTATTTGATTTTCTTTTTCTTTTGTGCGTGGTTTATTGCAGTAGGTAGTTTCATTTTCAGCAGTCACTTCACATTATCAATTTCTTTTGTGTTTTGAAGGGTCGTGGAACTGTTGCCACTGGTCGTGTTGAACAAGGGACCATTAAAGTTGGTGAGGAAGTTGAGATTCTGGGGTTGCATCAGGTCTGTCTAACACAAGTTTTTATATTGTTTGGTGCTGCAAAGCTTTCTTGTGCATTTATTTCCCTTTTATTTCTTTAGCAAATGATTTGCTATGCAACTCATTCTATGAGTTGGCATTGGCCTAAGGTGGACCTTTAATTTAGGCGGCATTGATCTTTGAATTAGTTTTGATAGCTTGAGGATAAAATACCACTCTAAGAAGGGCTAATCTTTAGTTTGTGTTCTTTTTCAGGGTGCTCCTTTGAAAACAGTGGTGACTGGTGTTGAGATGTTCAAGAAAATCTTGGATCATGGAGAAGTAAGTGACTGATTCTAAACATTCTTCAATATACTAAGGCTTTTTTACCGCACAAAATATATCTCATGATGGGTTTGTGCACTTGACTAGGCTGGTGATAATGTTGGTCTTCTTCTTCGAGGTCTAAAAAGGGAGGATATCCAACGAGGACAGGTGTGTGGTTTCAATTGCAGCAGAAAAATTACCTGTGGAAATTATTTTAAGAAAAGTTATTGAACTTGTGGATATTACCTAGTTAGCTTATACCTTGTGAAAATGAGCCTTTTATTGGTTATTTTTTATTTGAACGCGCTAAGTTTCTTTCAATTGTTTGGGCAACTAAACTCTGTTTCAGCACTGACTGTTGTAAATGTTGGATGGCTCTGCTGCACTTGTTTGTTCCCATTGCATAGGTAATTGCTAAGCCAGGAACAGTGAAGACACACAAGAGGTTTGAAGCAGAGATATATGTCCTCACAAAGGATGAAGGTGGACGCCATACTGCCTTTTTCTCAAACTACAGGCCTCAGTTTTATATGAGGACTGCAGATATCACTGGAAAGGTAGAATTGCCTGAAGATGTTAAGATGGTTATGCCTGGGGACAATGTTACTGCAGTTTTTGAGCTGATTCAACCGGTTCCTCTTGAAGCAGGTTTGTTCACATCATCTCTGCCGCTGAAAGCTAAATAATCTGCTTGTCTGTGTTTTAATTTGACGTGGTTGTTATTTCCGGAGTTTCACTGTTTCTGTTTCCTTATTCCTTTTAATTGAAGTTTTGAAAGCTAAAACTTCCCTACGTTTATGTGGCAGGACAAAGATTTGCCTTGAGGGAAGGAGGTAGAACGGTTGGTGCAGGAGTTGTTTCTAAAGTACTCTGAGATGAGATTTTCCTGTGCTGGATCCTTGAATCTCTCTGTATGCACATTAGTGGAAAAAGGGGTGGGGAACCAAAAGAACTCTTCACTTAGAAAAAACTGACGTGTGGTAATTGGTTACGTAATCCGCATTTCATGAGTTTGTTTTAGGTATTTTTGGTGAGATCATCTGTTTTAGGAAAAGAACAGAGTAAATTAAGAAGGAAATTTGGCACGTTTTCATCCCCTAGTTTTTACCAAGGCTGTCAATAATGTGATCAGGGTCAGTTCGTTCAAGTAATTTATATTCTTTACCATGTACAATGTGACATTTTTTTTTTTCCTTCCGGTGGCCATCATTGCTAATCTGTTTCACTTGTTGAAAGCCTTGTTCCTTGTATGTTCTCTTTGTTCGTTTTCTAGCTTGCATGCTTGCTAGTTGCAAAAAAAGGTGATAGTAAAAATAAAAGATTTTGCCCCGGCGATGTTTGGAGCCATACCATAACAGGAATACAGGATGCTCTTGACCCAAAAAAAGTGTCCAAATAGAAAATAATCAAAGATAACATAAAGAGCCAATTGACCTGGCAGAAAAGAGGGGAAAATGGAAAGCACGATTCCAACGTTATTTGAGTTCCAAAAACTGCTATTATTAAAACATTTATTCTATAACCAATCAAAAAGTTATTTGAACAGCCATAGAGATTATATGAATATAGATGGGAAGAGAGAGTTTCATGCACAAAATTGTATAGTACTACAGACTACCACCAAGTCACCCTTCTATCAATTCACATTCTACATTACTACTACTACTACCAGCTCACTGGTCATTATCCAGAGCTCGGATGACGAGAGCTCCGATTCACGGCAACTGAAATCAGATTTCCACTTTTCTTTCAAAGATGGGTTCTTCACCTCATGTCCAACAAGCTTCACCTCTCTGCTGATCGCCCAACTTGGTCACCATATGTACAGTTATATTCTCTTGTTCACCGCTCTAGTCAAATGTTCCTCAAACCATCTGTGTATCTTCTTCTTCTCATTTCATGCTCAAGCAAGCCTCAACACGGCCACTGCCATCAGTGTTGCAGCTCTGAAGTAAATCTCTTTCACGCTTCCCTCTACCCTTTCCATTATTTCCTCTTCTTTTAGATCCAACTTCTTTGAATTCTTGCTGATATGAATAATTGTGTCCCTCAGCTTGTTCACTGCCCAAGAGAGCCAAACTAACCCAATTGCAACTCCAGTATTCAAGAGTTTGGACGCACAAAAGGGCACCCTCCCACAACCTACTTTACAGAGGACAGAGAATAGGAGAGCTAAGCCGGTTCCAGCGATACTAGCAGAAAACTGGGTGAGGAGCTCTGGAACCTCAGGGCCAGATCTTTGAAGTGAGAGAATTGCTGATTTCCCATGCCGCCTTCTGTTAATCATTAAAGATAGAAGGCTCTCACAGGCATGGAAATAGTTCCTCTTGTAGAGATCTCTATCTTTGCCTACTCTTTTCCCACTCTTCTGCTTTTGTGTTGCCTTTTTTTTGACTTTTTCCGGACTGTTAAGTGGATAACAGACATAAAGTTAATATGAAGCATGCTTTGATCCAAGATTTGGTGGAAGAACAGGCATACCAGTGTGACACCAATAATATCAATTACAGCAAAACAATTTAGTTTAATCTTGAAACTGATATCCCTTAAACAGGAACAAAGAAATTGAAAGAGAAAGGGTAAAAGGCAAAAAGAATAATAAAAACATGTTATGTCAATACCTCTTTAAAGGAGCAAGGGTAGTCACTTGCGCCTTCAAAAAAGTTCCATCAATATTAGCTCCTGCTTCCTTGCTCTCCACCCTGATTCATAAAGTTATTGTCAGGTCATGTTTTATAGGAGAAGAGAAAGAAGAGGAGAGAAAATGGAGAACATTTAAAATATAGACAGTTGGAAAGTATAAAGAATATTCATCAAAATGAAAGGTATTTTCTAAGCAAGGATTATTAAGGAAAAATTCATTCTAAACTCAGTTGGTCTTTCGACCAAAAAAAAAAAACTCAGTTGGTCCACAAGATCTACTGATTCCATACTGTTGAAAGAAATATATTCATGCATTTGTATTCAAACATAGTTAGAAAATATTCATTCTGAGGACTATGATAAGTATTTGATCCTGTAAACAAAAGATGCCAAATTTAAATTTAAAAAAAGGAATAATCGTCCATGCGTACCTATTGAAGTGCGGAACCAGCACACACTGCTTTTTCCAACAAACTGAGTTTCTCAATGAGTAAAACTCAGCAACAACTGAAAGGAGATGCTCCATCTCAGTCCCTGTACCCGTAAATAAGACTCGACCATCTGGCTGAACTGTAATTTTGGAACTCCAGGCAAGACCTCCCACAAAGTCCAACAGAGGCTTCTGGGTATTAAACTCACTACTTGGGTAGATAAGAGAAGGAATGAATGCTTGTTGGCTTATTTCATGTAACCCCATCAAGTTATATAGTACGGTTATATCTAGTCCGCCTTTCTCTGCTTCAGTTTCTCCAGACTTGAGGAACTGCAACATTTTTTCACGTCTTATGAAGTGTTCAGCAATTCCAATGCTGAACAGCACTGAGTCTGGATGAACATCTGTAATCAGCAGGAAAAAGAGATAATTCAACATATTGCAAAGACATTACATTTCATTATAACATATGCGATAAGGATATAACCGCATAAATCTGATATGTCATTATTGCCAAGTTATGTTGTTCTAATTTATTTTAGGATGCATGAGATCATCATTTATAGAAAGTTATGCTGGAAATGGAGAAGAATAAATCTAATTTATTGTAGTACCACTCAGACCATCTAAATCTAATCTTATCTTTAACCACAATAGAGCAAGATAGACAAAATTTAAATAAATTCTTTGGGACAAACGGCAATGAAATCAATATAATTTGGTTATGGCTATAACTCATAGATTTTCAAACAATAGCTGCATACAACAATGAAATCAATATAATTTGGTTATGGCTATAACTCATAGATTTTCAAACAATAGCTGCATACAACAATGAACTATTGAGGTGCATACTTTGCATGTCAGTGAGTACAGGCCTTTCGGTCTTGGCAAACCAGTTGGCCTCTGGCAATCCACTGGCGAGTTTCCATGGCTCCTCACATTGCTGCGGCATCAATTTCAAAGATCCCAGTTTTGTGATTTCCTGCTTTGCTCCATAACTCGGCAGAAGGGGTTGAAAATCCTGCGTTAATCAAAGGAAAATATATAATCTTTTCAGCAACAGCTTTAAAAGAAAAAGGAAATATATCGGCTAGAACTTCAATTCCATTCAGAACAATAAATCAAAACAAGAAAAACTGAAGCCCCAGAGAGAGCTAAACATGCAATACAAACTCAAGGAACCGAATTTGATTAATACGAAAGCAACCCAAATAACAATCAGCCATGAAAATTAAACCCAAATGAATCAAAATCGAATGCAAATACAAAAATCTCATCTGCAACCGAACACCAAACCAATGAAAACCAATAAGCTAAAGCTTCAAAACCTTTACTTTACCTTGATAATACCCATGCCCTGCTCTTGCTGTAAAACAAGGCCGTGAGGGTAGCCATGAGAAGCCATCAAACAAAGCTTATCTGCCATTGCTGAGAGAAACCCAGTTTAAGAAACCAATTCCTCTCCTTTTTGGTGCGTCGTGCCTCTTCTTCACACCACCATAAACTGATCCATCCCTGGACCTCAAAATCCAAGATTTTTCACAATTTGGTCTTTTTTCATTTTGAGCTGCAGCCACACAATAAAAATCGAAAATAACAAAGTTGGATTTTGTGTCATCCAGTTGTTTTATCGACAAATTTCTGATCTGAGAATCCAGGTTGGATTTCTCACGTCAGACAAAAAGTGTCTGTTTTCTTCCACCTTGGACTCTCCTGAACATTGGGTTTTCTGCCCGTGTGTAGCTTTGTACACCATACATAATACTTCTTAGTTTCTCGTTGTGGCATCTTGGCCGTCGAGTTTGCATACCATTGAGATTGTGGGCCCTTGTTGATCTACGTTTGTATTGTTTGATTTGGCTAGGGTGTGATGAGTCCGTACTGAAACAGAATTGAGGGGAAAAAATCTTTGCATGGAAATTGACCCCACAATGGAAACCTCTAGATTTATTTGAGGGTTTGGATTGTAACATACCAAAAATGAAAATAAAAATCCGACAGATGTTATCGGAAAAATAAAATTCGTCTTCTAGCTTGCATAGTTCGAAATTTACTTTAAATTCTATCTCATTTTGAGGGTGCTTTAATTATTGTGAAATGCGTTGGTGAAAATTTTCAGTTTTATTCAACGAATCGTGTTTATTGCACATTTTATTTTAGGTGATCAAATAATTTTCGATGTGAATAATTTTTTGCATGAATGACTCGACTTAAAATAAAAATAGCCTGCAAAAGATCTACTAGTGTAGTTGTTTAAAGTAATTGTTCATCTAGATAAGATCATGAATTTGAGTCATAGTATTTGTTCCGATTGAGTTTTATTCAACGAATCGTGTTTATTGCACATTTTATTTTAGGTGATCAAATAATTTTCGATGTGAATAATTTTCGATGTGAATAATTTTTTGCATGAATGACTCGACTTAAAATAAAAATAGCCTGCAAAAGACCTACTAGTGTAGTTGTTTAAAGTAATTGTTCATCTAGATAAGATCATGAATTTGAGTCCCAGTATTTGTTCCGATTGTTGAATTGAATTATGAAAATAATCTTTAAAAAAGGGTGTACATTATCTTTTTAAAATAAGAAAAACACATTATCATGGTGCCAAACTTCATGCTTCATTTGGCACACCTGAATGTTTTTCCAGTCTCTTGACATTGATTGTCTTCTTAAATACAAATCAATCACTTAAGCATTCAAGAACTCAACCATAGCACCAAAATGATAAAAATCTTTGTTCATACTAGTCGTGTTTGCTGCCTTTAAAGCAAGGCAATCCCTTGTTCGATTCTCTTTATTTTAATAATGAGAGCTTGCTTGCTGGCTGGCTGGTTCTTTATTTTCTTGTTAGTTTTTGTGGGTCTCCCACCTATGCTGGAAAAGTATATAAAATAAAAATAAAAATAAAAATTCTTTTAAAATTAGAGAAATAAATATGACCACCAAACAGAGCAAGCTACCATAAAACCTAATATCATTTTGGAAGTCAAAATGCTTATAACTGAGAGATTGAATGGGCTGCAACAACCTCTATCACATGCAGGTATTTTATTGCATTTATAAATGCACTATCTACTTGTTCTTCCTTCTTTGGTCAACAGTCGTATCAAAATCAATGTCATGTAGTGAATAATTCATATATTTCACAAAGTAATGTTCAAAAGGAGGAGAACACAAAACTATATAGAAATATCCGTTGTTTTAGAAGTTTTTCTTTGAAAGAATGTTACGATCAATCACCTGATTATGTAGATTGATTTGGGTTTGAAACCTCACATGCATCAACGATAAATATCATAATGTGCGAGCCAGCGTGCAACCGATCTTAATATTATATATATTTTTAAAATTTTAATTTATATTTTCTTTTATTTGGAAGATGATAATAGGAAATCTATGAGGTTCACCATTTGTTGACACCTGGCATTGTGGCATTTGATCTTCATAAGTAAGTAGTGTGGTCGTCCGTGTAGACTAGTTATCCCCGCAGCAGCTGGTCAGCTCATCACCCGTGCAAGCTGGCTCGCGCCCATCGCCAATTGGCGCGTCCCATCCCGCACAACTTGAGCAACAAAGCCAACGGCTATTAAATCCTATGTAAAGTAATCATCAGTTTATATGTGAAAAGCTCTATTTAAAAATTGAATTAAAAAATAGAACTATTTTAATTTAATTTTAATGTATTTCTTTCCCAAATCAGGCAACAAATTTGAACATGGGTTTATCTTATGTATGAATCTCACTCCCAATTAATATGGATACTAAATATGGAACATTTCTAAATAGAGAAGTAATCTGCGCGAGGATTAAATTGCGTATCCGAATGACTAGAATGGCCTTGTGTGTCTATAGAGCCGGATGCATACGCGGGCCAATGGGAGAGCGAGTTGGTCCAGTTTTAAAGGTCGGCAAGTGCGCTTCTGCTTCATCACCAATAATTTCACTGTCGGGAAAAAACAACTATAAAAGCACAATCTCAAGTCGTCGTGTTACCATTTCTTTCTCTCTCTCTTCTCTCTTCTTTCTTTGATTGTGAGAACACAGAGCTCTGGAAACTCACCTTCGAGAACAACATTCCCGAAGGAAACCCTAGATTCTCTCACCATACAGTCACTTGCCGGAGAAAATATTCAGGAAAAGAAGAATCTTGTATCGCAAGTCCAAGGTTCTTCATTTCGCATCCAATTTCAGCCAAATTCCACATTTCCGATTAAACCCTAGATCCCAAATTCAATCCAAGAAAAATTAAAGCCCCAAGTAATTCAATTTTGTCGCCGGGTATGGGTAAGGTTTTCAGAGAAACCTCCAGGCCCTCGTCTTCTTCATCCTGCCCGGCCTCTTCGTCGCCCCCGACAACCACATCGACGTCGATCACCGAGACCGTCAACGGGACCCACCATTTCAAGATCACGGGTTATTCTTTGTCCAAAGGGATTGGGATTGGGAAGTACATAGCGTCCGATACGTTTAATGTGGGCGGGTATTCGTGGGCCATCTATTTTTACCCAGACGGCAAGAGCGTCGAGGACAATGCCGCGTACGTCTCGCTCTTCATCGCGCTCGCGAGCGAAGGAACCGATGTGAGAGCTCTCTTCGAATTGACCCTTTTGGATCAGAGTGGGAATGAGAGGCACAAAGTGCATAGCCATTTCGGGAGGACCTTGGATAGCGGTCCCTACACGCTCAAGTATCGCGGTAGCATGTGGTGGGTTGGCGAATTTCCAGTTCTTGATTTTGTCTTTGTGGGAATCTTGGTTTTCTTGCCTTCTGTTTTTATGAAAGTTTATGAGTTTGTAAAAGTTGGTAACTTGGGTTTTCCATTTTCAAAAAGAAGCATGCTTTTATTTTTTGATCTGTTTTTGTTTAGATGCAATGTTTACACATAACAGATCCAGAAGAAGGGTATTAAAGTTAGGTTTAAAAAAGGTTGAAAATCTGTTAATATAATTAGGAAATGTGAAGCAATCAGTGGGTTCGGGATTGAAAATTTTCTGCAATTTGGAAAGGTTTTGATTGCTTGTTGTTTTTGGCTTTTTCACTAATCTTGCAACCTGCAAACCTTTAAATCTCTATGCTGAACCTGATTCTAACTTGTGTATGATATTTATATAATGTAACGGCTTTTCTATGTGGGTACAAGTAGGAAAGTAAAAGGCAATATGTAACATCGGGCAGTGAGAGAATAAATTCATTGTTGATCTTGTTAACCTGTCAATGTTCCATTTGATGTTTTAAAAGTGTCTGCCAGGGAGTTTAGTTGATTACTTCTTTTGATGCATGCCTTGGAGTGATTATATAGAAATTTCATGTCATTTGAATATGACAAGGTATCGATATTTTCTATGCAGTCCAATATGGGGTCTAGCTTGGTTTCAGCCTTGTATCCTGTACATATCCATTGTTGTCACTAGTTTTGCATATAGGAAGGGTTTAATGGATTCTTGGGATCCTGCAGGGGTTACAAGCGTTTTTTCAAAAGAACTTCTCTGGAGACATCAGACTACCTTAAAGATGACTGCTTGTCAGTGAACTGTATGGTTGGTGTTGTGAAGTCACACACGGAGGGGCCAAAAATATACTCCATACCAGTACCACCATCCAGCATGGGCCATCAGTTTGGGCGGCTACTGGAAAGTGGAAAGGGAACTGATGTAAATTTTGAAATTGACGGCGAAATTTTTGCTGCTCACAAGTTGGTACTAGCAGCTCGATCACCTGTATTCAGGGCCCAACTATTTGGTCCTATGAAGGATCAGAACACTCGGTGCATAAAAGTTGAGGACATAGAGGCTCCAGTCTTTAAGGTTTGATGCATTTCTTCTTTTTCTTTGGTTGGTTATGTTATACATTTGTTTAACTAATGCTGATTAATCTTTGTACTTTAGATAGTAAATTGGTTACCATATTTATTTGCAATTGTGTCAGTTTGTCAGACATGTTGCATTGACATTGTCATCCAGGAGTATGATCTCATGCTTTTTGTGCTTTAGCTGCAAATCCTGCCAGATGTTATTGATCAAATATGCATTCTAGGATGATTTATTTTTTCGCTTTGTTGCTTGTGCAGTGGTTGTAAGTGGTAAAACATGGCCTAATGTGAAGTAATAAGTTTCAGTTTTCATGGAGAACGTCCAATTTGGGTTGTATTATTATGCTTTCTGCATAGTGCTTATTCTCTTTCATTATAAATGTAAGCTAGGTTGGCTATGCGGTTTCTGCTCTAATTCTTTTGTTTCTTGTGCTATCATGTGAAACTGTAGAATTAGTTAATTATAACCATCCACCTGGGAATTGTTTTCATGGATATTATTGGCTTTGTTTCTCACTATTCAACTGTTTTTCCACTCATTCATTTTGTCCTTGTGCAGGCTTTACTTCATTTCATTTACTGGGACTCTCTGCCCGACATAGAAGCGCTTACTGGAATTAACTCCAATGGGTCTTCGACTTTGATGGCGCAGCATCTGCTTGCAGCAGCGGATCGGTATGGCTTAGATAGACTCCGGTTGTTATGTGAGGCAAATCTCTGCAAAGATGTTGCGATAAACACTGTGGCAACGACATTAGCATTGGCAGAACAACATCACTGCTTCCAGCTGAAAACTGTGTGTCTCAGATTTGTTGCAACACCTGGAAATCTATCAGGTGACTCTTTTCTCTATCTAGCTTTGTTTTACAATGTTGTGTAATTTGAAAAAGAAAACTGTCATCATCTAGGCTCCAAATGAGATTGTTGATGATGATTATGCGCGATGATTTGGTTATATGCGGATGACTCTAAAAACTGTGGTAGAATTGTAATCAAGATTGGAGAAATTAATGACTACAATGATCTATGTATTGACTTGTCTTTCTTATTCCATTGAAGTTTTTAATTTGTATTCGGTAGTAATATGTGTCCTTTTTTCCATTGACAGTTATATGAATTAATATGTCTCATGTTAGTCCAGATGTTTAGTTTAAACTATAAGCCTCAAGGTCATAAAACTAAGGATCCGTGTTTCATAACCTGTCATGTTAGGCTTTACCTATCTTGAGAGTAGTACTTCCTCTTGGCCCTTTGGAAGGTCATTTGGTACTTGATTATACTTCTATCATCGGCCATTTTACTTATGGATACATAAGCCTTTGAAAAGGGTTGTCAAAATTGGCTGAGATAGCAAGAAAACAACCCACTCTGTATAGTGATGTGTGGTTTACAATTGAAAACAACTAGGGTATTTTGGATCTTGTTTTTTACTTGGAAAATCTTCTAGACTTGGTGTAATTACTGGCCACTCTGTATAGTGATGTGTGGTTTACAATTGAAAACAACTAGGGTATTTTGGATCTTGTTTTTTACTTGGAAAATCTTCTACAATTGAAAACAACACATGAATTCTCATCTTCTATTCTTCTATGTTATGTACAGTATCTCTTGTTAATTTTTTTTTCTAGACCTTTTTGTTTTGCGTCTTCTGATGCATTGGTCTTTGTTTGATTTGTGATTCCTGAATATAAATAAATGCGAATGTTATGTAAGTAATTCTTAATTCTTTTATTTTTGTTTTGCAGGTGTGATGCAAACAGATGGTTACAAACACTTGAAGGAAAGCTGCCCGTCTGTTCTGACTGAACTCTTGGAATATGTAGCTAGAGTTAGTGAACATTCTGTATCTCTATGCAGGCATGGGAATGACGCTATTCTTGATGGTAGTGACATCAATGGCAGGCGGGTGAAGCAAAGGCTATAGTGAACTGAGCTTTTTGAACATCTTCCATGTAGAAAAACAAAATGGAAAGAGAAAGAAAAGTGAGGAGAGAGATTATTTCTAGGTTTAGAAATAACTACTAGTTTTTTAGGCTTGTTATTCGAAAGGATGTTGATGTCTCTGTTGGCTTGTAATTGAAAGTTGTAGTACTTACTGTTTTGATTGAGAAAAAGAAAAATTCAATTCCCTGGTTTGTGCCTCTCTCTCTCCGTGTCATGGGAATGACGCTATTCTTGATGGTAGTGACATCAATGGCAGGCGGGTGAAGCAAAGGCTATAGTGAACTGAGCTTTTTGAACATCTTCCATGTAGAAAAACAAAATGGAAAGAGAAAGAAAAGTGAGGAGCGAGATTATTTCTAGGTTTAGAAATAACTACTAGTTTTTTAGGCTTGTTATTCGAAAGGATGTTGATGTCTCTGTTGGCTTGTAATTGAAAGTTGTAGTACTTACTGTTTTGATTGAGAAAAAGAAAAATTCAATTCCCTGGTTTGTGCCTCTCACTCTCCGTGTTGAAGTTGTAAAACGTACTGTTTTCTTGATATAGAGCAAAATTCAATTCCCTTTTTTTTTTCTCCCCTTTTTCCTGCGGTGGCAGTTTATTTCTAACCAATAAACAAAGACCACAAGCATATTTGTAAAATGTACTAAATTGACAGTTAGCAGCAAAGCTCACCCTCAGATTGCCCTACAACTCTGTTTTGATGTCTTGAAAACTGGTGCAAATGAGCAGACAGTTTGTCCTATAACCCCTTTTTGGCTGCAGATTTCTGTTTTTCGCTGCAGATTACCAATGCTAAACAACTGTACCTCGCCTATACCTAATTTCCAACTCCTCCCTCACGCTTATCTACTTACCTCGGCAGTTAGTATAGAAGTCAACAGATGCACACAAGCCCTGATAAGAAGTCCAAATCCGAAAAATAGAACTGAATAAATTACAAAAATTAGTTGGCCTTTGGCTTCACAAACACAGCTTAGTGAAACCTGTTTTGATTTTTTATTTATTTTTGCCATTGAAAAGAAAATGTCAATAGTCTAATAAATGGAAATGAATCACACAATTTCATTGATAAATTTTGGTGCATCAAAATGAATGCTGGCCACTTGTTGAAGTAAATCTAATACAAAGAAGATATTTGCAGCAGCACAGAACTTATTAATAACAAGAATTTCAATAATCTTCCAATTGTTAAAGTGGAAGCTGAAGAAAGATTGTGGGCGCCAATAGTTTCAATTCCCCCTGACTTCTCATCTCTCACTTTGATGCTTGAAGAGCAGTTGTAATCCATCCACCCAATTTCCTGATTCTCAAGATCATAAATGACTAGCTTATTTGAAAGCACCAAATCTCCCAGAAGGGTCATGGAATCTCCATTTCCGGATTTCATCCCACTGCTCTGCCAACCAGAGCACCAAACATCATCCTTCAACTGGAACAAATAGTCATGAGGATACACCGTCATTGAAGCCGAATTCTTGAAATGGAACTTCACCACTGGAAATCCATCATCGACACTCTTGGAATACTGGAAACATTTGAACTGCTCATCAACTGTATGTAATTTCAAGTCAGGCTGACTTGCAAAGATCTTGCTCATGACTGGTTGATAAACCTCCTCTGGAAGATAAGCCAAGGTTGTACCACTGTCAATTATTGTCCCTTCCTTGTCTCCAGTGTCAAATACATATGTGGGAAGTTGTACCACATCGCCACCCACCTCAATTGCCTCCATCGCAACATTGTAATGTGCCTGCCTTGGCACCAATGGAGTTGTATTCTTCACTATTGGCTGCACCACTTCCCCAATGGCAAAAATCCCACCTCCATTTACATTGTCCAGGCAATGTGCAAATTGTTTTCTGACCTTTCCAGATGCAGCCAGCTGTGAAATCACAGATGAATTTGCCTGCCCAAAACCAAGTATCCCATCAAGAGCTTCAGAAGACTTACCTAGCTGCCCAGATTGTTTAGCTCCACAACCAAATACCATACTTCCATTTGTTCTTTCATCAAATTCAATATTGTCCTTCACAAAGTAACCCGCTGTTGCGCTTCCATCTCCATAAGTCACATCATATTCGCAGAGCAAGGTTGGCCTGCAACCAGGGAGCTGACCACTGTATTTGGATGTGCAAAATTCTTGATCACAAGTAACAGGTTGTGACGTTGAAGAGCTCTTTGGATCATACAATGTGAGCTTCACACCAATATCACTTTTCTTGGGACAGTTTGTGCAGTCAATACAATTGACCCATAAAATGTCACTTCCTGTATCGACCTGGACAAAATAGTCCTTTGAAGGTGAGCCAATCCCAAGTTTGGCAAAGTAGAGGCCAGTGTCAGAAGGATGGCCATTGCCGCCTATTTCCAGATCCACAGCAGAAGTAGAGCCTGAGCCTGCAGAGGCTAGAATTCTACCATGGCGGCGAGCATCATGGGATTTAAATGCACTCAAAGACCGCTGGCCCTTGAACTTATGGTGCACAGGGAACACAAAGTTACCTGACGCATCCAGAACCAATGAGAAAAGAACCAGTATACAACCCAATACAGCCCCTCTTGTCGTTTTCCCAAGATCCATTGAAATTGCCCAAAAAAGCAGGAGCCTTTAAGGCTACTTTTACAAAATTGATTGAGGTTGAAAACAACCCAAAGATTCAATTTGACAGGCGAGAAAACTGAAGCTACAAGATCTGATTGGACCCAACAGCAAAAGAAGCTGTTTTGGTACAAATCCCAGATTGAAAAAAAATTCGTAGCTTGAATTCTGAGGCTTAGAGATGTGGGTTTTGTTGAAAATTCATTGTCGAGTTGGGTGGAGAAAGAACAAGGAGGTCGGTGAAGGAGGAGGGAAAGGCATGTGTGAAGAGAGAGGAGAGGGAAAGCCAGATAAAATAGAAGAAAAAAGCGCAAAGCAAGACGGCAAGAGAGAGAGACAGACAGACGAGAGAAGACTCGGACGAGAGAGTTGCGCGTTGTGTATGTCAAAGATTAACACTAATTGTCCATTAGTTAGTTCATCTCAACTTTAATTAAAAGTACCAGTGTCAACATGCCAAACCAACAAAATAAAATTAAAAAGAGAGATAATAACAAAGTCAAGATAATAATCATCTATCCAAAAGACACCACAAAATTACAACAATTTATTTTTCTGTATGTTTGGAAACGACGTTCAACATTGAAATTGCCAATTGGGTTTTTCGTGCCAATTACGCAGTTGCGTCTTCTTTGCTTTTTTGTTATATTCTTTTTGGCCGGCTACATTCTTTCCTAATGAAAGAAAGACTTGGTAAAGAGAACCAACTTTCCTCTTGAAATACTGTCTTTTGAGTTCGTGAAAAACGAGGACTAAGTTTGGCGGTAGCTATATGTCCTTTGTGTTTCGAGTACTTGGCTGACTTGGATAGGTGTAATCAAAGTTTTCTTTGTTTTTGGCTTAGGTTAATACTTATTCAAATCCAAATCTCGAAAATCAACGGTGGAGATGAACTTTATCACAATTTTTATGCAAATAACACTAGGGTATTCTATTATCCTTCAACAGTATTTTAGAAAAGCCAAATAGCTTCACAAGCCTGACCAAAGGAAGCAAGTTTAGCTCTTACATAAGTCTAATTCAACAATAACACTAGGCAATTATCATTCCTACTTTTCCTGCTCATCATCGTTATTTGTAACTGATTAACTGATATAATCTGATGGTGAGCATTTCATCCGCCATGATTATCTTTACTTGACATGCTGAGTAAACCAGGCCAACAAATCTTGATGGGCTTCTCCAGCATGCTTGACAGCAGCCTCATCCTCTTCCTTGTACCTGACAGTCCATCCATGTGGAACACCAGGAAATATTTTCACATAGCCATTAACCTGCATAAAAACTACATCAATTAGTTTCTGAAAGTCATGTTGGCATCTGGGAAATTCCTCACTTTGTAATCACGGAATCATCGTACGACAATGTATCATACAAAGACTTCCATTTAGGTTTCAGTGATGTTTCTAATGAATTTCACTTTCAAGGAATCGTTTGTGGGGTGGGAGCATGAACACCCCATTTGATAACCATTTCAATTTTAGTTTTTAGTTTTAATTTTTTGTGCTAGAGTATAGAACAAAATGAGAGTGAGGTGGAACACCAGGAAATATTTTCACATAGCCATTAACCTGCATAAAAACTACATCAATTAGTTTCTGAAAGTCATGTTGGCATCTGGGAAATTCCTCACTTTGCAATCACGGAATCATCGTACGACAATGTATCATACAAAGACTTCCATTTTGGTTTCAGTGATGTTTCTAATGAATTTCACTTTCAAGGAATCGTTTGTGGGGTGGGAGCATGAACACCCCATTTGATAACCATTTCAATTTTAGTTTTTAGTTTTAATTTTTTGTGCTAGAGTATAGAACAAAATGAGAGTGAGAATGTGAGTGAGGATGAGATTGGGAGAGAGGATGAGAGGGGAGGATGGGAGGGAGGAGTAACAAAAGTGAAAACAATTTCAAATAGATTTCAGTTTTTAGTTTTTATTTTCACTTTTGTTAATCCTCCCTCCCATCCTCCCTTCTCATCTTCCCTCTCAATTCCATCTTCACTCTCATTCTCACTTCCATTCTCCCTCTTTTTCCTATATACTCTAGCACAAAAAATGAAAACTAAAAACTAAAATTGAAATGGTTATCAAATAGGCCCTAACTTTCTGAAACTGGAAAACATTGACAATTTATGATACAAAGACTTCCATTTAGGTGTTTTATTAATGAATTTCACTTCGAATATATTAACTTTCTGAAGTTGGGAGATGCTTACCTCAGGCTTAGTGGATAAAACCTCCTCATACTTTTTCAGGAGTTCAGGTGGAGAGATCTTGTCAAATTCAGCACCCAATATGGCTATTGGAGCCTTAATCTCTGAAACAAAAGAAGAAGAAAAAAAAAAACAGTAAAAGGTGTATTAGTAACTTCAAACACCAGAAGACACCAACAAGAGTGCAGTAGTGCAGCCCAAGACACTAGAAGCAGAGTCTTCCTTTGGCCATATTTATTATACACAGCAGTTTAATTCTGCAGTGAAAATACATACCTTTAATATCATCAACTGTGACAAGGGAAGGGTGTAGCAACACTGCAGCTTGAATGTAATCAGACTTTGCTAGCTCCACAACCACCTTGGCTGAATAACAACCAAGAGTTGTTGATTAATTTAACAGTAATTGCACAACTAGTGAAACCTAAAAAAACAAATTTCTACAGTTATATGATTCTACTCTAAAAGTGTGAGTAGGAGTCTTACCACCCCAACAGAACCCTGCTGCTCCTATCTTTGATACCCCTTTGTTCCTTAGAGCAGCAATTATAGGTTTAGCATCTTCAAATCCTTTGCCCTTAAAGAAAGAGGTGGGGGAAGAAAATAGCAACACTTTTAGCACATGATTAAACTTGAGTCATGATTACACATTCAGCAAGTTTACACTTTAAAGATCAGGGAAATAAAAAAGATTCAGAAACAAACTGTTCCATGAGACTGTATCCAAACTGATACAGGCCTCTCAGCATTGTCCGGTACGTAGGGATCTCCATAAAAGAAGTCTGAAACCACAACATGGAATCCAGCAGCACTAGCTATTTTGTCGGCAAGCTTCCTTTACAGAAACAGCAGTGAGTTCAAGAAAAATGAAAACATGTAATGAAAGGATGGGAAATAAATGTCAAAGCAAAGAGTAGTCCAGTTGTTAAAAGCAGATTAACTCTTGTTAACGAAGCAACAAATTCACTTATCATTAGGTTTCAGAAATGCCGTAGACAAATATACGTTTCACGGACTGAGTGATAAAGGGCTTGGAAGTGCAGCATCAAATATAAAGTTTTTACAAATTTAGCGGAGAATTGTCATTTCATTTGGTGAGAGGGTTTTAACAACTGTAAACCCTCCAAGGTCCATAAAATAAAACTTCTCTAATAAATGGCTGCCCCTAAAACAACCCATTTCGAAATTTTTATTTTTATCTTTATGCAGACGTAAATGATCATGACCAGAGTAGGCAACAAAGAGTATCCATCAGAATTCAGTAGCTAGATAAGCTGCAGCTAATATTTTTCAAAAAGGAAGGGGATTGGGAGAAATCATGTTAGGCTTTTCATGTAAGGTGCTAAAATATCCATCATGTACCATTAACAAACGAGGATGCAGAGTTGAGAAAGTAGGCATACCTTAGGTTTGGTGCTTCAAATCCTTCAAAACAAATAAATATACTGTCAAAACTTAAAATTTCAACTCACCAAGCGGAATTGAAAAAGCTCTAAACATGTACAAAAACTTACTAAAAAGAAAGAAATAATCATGTAACTGATCAACTTAGAATTTAAGCATCAATATTATACATGTACAAAAAGAACACAAAGGAAAAACAATCCATTTTTGAGAACCTAAGCATGGAAACCGTATTTTAACTACCACCCAGATCACAAAAGCAGATGAGATGTGAGACAAAAAAAACCCAAATTGGTATGTGGTAAACAATAGCAGCAAAAAAGAAAGAAACTTCATCAAAATTACAAAGAAAGAAAGAAAATTGGTGAAATGGGTAATTACCATATACATCAGAAATGAGAAGAATGGCATGCTTGGAATCAGAAGGGCCAGTAACGTAGGCTTTTAAGCCTCCAATTTCAGTCACTGAACCAGCTCCGGAGCTTGAGCTAAGGGTTGGTGGGTTTTCACAGCACTGAGGCCCCGACATAGCTTTACTCAGAGAAGCAGAGATTCAGAGCCACACACACAAAATCAGTAAGTGAGAGAGCTCCACTGATATATTAGGATAGCTAGCAGTACTTGCCTTGGAGAACAATTTGCTTACTATCTGAAATGTTACACGTATCGAAACATTATTGAACAAGTTTTCTCCTGACTTTTTCTTTTTTCCCTCATGATCGATGAAGACAGGTTCAAGAAGAGCCACAGGCACAATATTTTTCATTTTTTCATTTGGGTTCACAAAGAGCCACAGGCCCAATATTTTTCATTTTTTGTGGGTTAAAAAAGAATACAGGCCCAGTTTTTTTATTTTCTTTTAGGTTCACAAAGAGCCACAGGCCCGGTATTTTTCTTTTTGGTAATTTGAGTCCATATTTAGCCCAATCCTCTTGTCTTGATTAGCCCACGCATGGGAGGAGTGTGTGTGACTTTGCTATTGCATGCTTGCTAATTGCGGAAATTCTCAAATGCGGGATAAATGTTGTGGGATGTGAGTAGTCATTCAACAATATGTAATTAATTGGCCACTCACATCCCTCAACTATCCTGCATTGCATTGCAGATCAGTTTATGTAACAAGATAATACATTCACATAACCAAATCAGCATAAGTCACAAACTATTTAGAAAATGAAAATTCGTAATTCTTTATTATTTACCATGATTACGTACCAATTTCACCGTACTTAATAATTAGACCTAACCTACCCAAAAGGAATAGTAAGTTTGGACACATACCCGCAGAATCACATGGAGAGAGAGAGAGAGCAATTTGTAAAATATTTGCATCGAAATGTTGTTTCATCCTCACAATATATTAAATTAAAAATGTCTAAATATGCGATCATGATTCCAATTTAGCAATATAACATATGTGACAAAGTATCATTATTGTACCGGTACATACACTTTCATCTCCAAAAACAAATTCAGAGTCGAACAGATGCAATTGGTTCTTGCAAAACAGAAGAAATAATAACACACGCAAACACCTTACATTATGGTGCAAGCACTAGTGCTAGTGTTATCGTCGCTGAAATAATGGAGCATTGAGTTGCCAACCGGCGGTTCCTTAGTTCGATGATAACAAGGATAAGGATACATTTGCATTGGCGGTGGCGGTCGTGGCAGCGGTGCCATGCTCGAGTGGTGACCACTACCACCATATGCATGTGGCGGCAGTCGTGGCAGCGGTGCCATGCTCGAGTGTTGACCATAACCACCATATGCATGTGGCGGCAGTGGAAATGCAGGCGGTGGACCTGGCGGTGGCCTCCCGTACATCCCTCGGGCCCAGTTGTTTTGTGGCCCAAGCGGTTTTGGCTTGGGGAAATTGCCCTTCCCATGGGGTGCAACAAATGGACCATTAACATTGGCTGGCTTCTTAATTTTATGTCCACTATGACCATCATGATCTCCATCAATCTGATCATCAGAATCAGAATCAGAATCAGAATTTGAATGATCATGATTATGATTATGATCATTGTGATGATCGATGATGTTTTTCGTGTCCTTGGCAATGGGGTGGTGATGATGATTTTGAGTGTTCTTCAATCGTTGTGCTTGTTTTTTCTTTTGGGCAGCACGAGGGTCCTTCTTGTAGGACACAAGCTCTGTCCTAATCTTAAGCTTTGCAATTGTCACTAAGATTGTGGCTGGATCTGCCC